TTCAAAAACATCTACGAACATAACGTAAATGTTGAACATCAAAATGCTCAAATACTGATTCTCAAATCTAAATATTTACTCTTAAGTCAAATATTAATTTTCGAGTAACAACAATTGTCGATATAGTTTAATAATATTTACAACGCCAGGAAAAATACTAAGATTGTTTGTGATGATGTACTCTGGCGATCCCTGCTGCTGCACAAAACCGATGTATATGATGGGCATACCCCTTAACTGAATTACAGTATCCATAATTTTACATTCAAATCACTGCGCATGCATTTTTAGGCTTGTGTTAGTTACTTCTTTGTGTAGGCCTACCCTGAGTACTTACAATGCGGAAATATTTTATCGCAGAGGATGATTCATTGATAGACATGTTATGGACAGAATAAATCGATCAAACTTTTATTTATTTAAAAACACAATCAAAAGTTAGTAAATGTGGAACTTGTTAGGACATAATTATTTGGGTACGGTATATTAAGCCTACTCAGTGGTGGCTTCGGAAATTGGCCGACAAGTATTGAGTTCCGAACATAGGGCATCCGGTTTAGTTTTCGGAGTAAAAACAACTGATGGGGTCAATGGAATTTGATTGATTCGATGTAAACGCCAAGGATAGCCCACGAAAGTCTAGAAGAAGACTTATTTCCAGTGGGGTCCTTCTGGTGGTGATTGGGCAGTACACCGGGATACAATCCCCTACTCTTTTCCGAAGAGTGTACTGCGTTCTTTGACGTGCACATGGGCCATACGGTAATGCACACGGGACCAACGGCTTAAACATCTCATCCGAAAGACGGTGCGCTATAGTAACTTGTATTTCAGCCCTCTAGCTGAAACACAAGGAGAGGCAGCGATGGGAATTGAACCAGGGACCTAGAGATCTTCACGGTTCAGCGCACACACAGTGGCTACCACCAGATTAAGCTGCTCTCTCTATTAATGATTCCGAGTAAGTCTCCCGTTTATCCCGTGGTAAATCCCGCTCTAGGGCACCATATCATTCTGAAAATTGGAATAAAATTGTATCTCTCTTGCACACTTTCACATTTTAAATGAAAATTAATCAGAGCAACAATCTTCCTGCGGCAAACTTAGTCTTTCGAGCATTTGTAATTGTATATCTATTTATTTATCAATGTCTCTTAAATTTTAAAATTCGAGTTTAGCCTGTGCCTGCGCTGAATCTGTATTTGTTGTCTTTCCAAATTAATAAATACATAGCTAAAAGTGATACGGGTTTTTTAGGCGTGCCAAAGTGTTTGCCAAACTACGGAATGCAGGTAAAATTACAGGCCTGTCGTGTGTAGTTTGGTTGGGACTGCCGCTGGATCTGTCTGACAACAAGGTAAACGTGACGTTAGCCTTGCGAGCCTGCAACTCAGAGGCGTTTGCTTCGTGATATCAATAGAACTTTACGTATGGTTTGCATGTTTCAATGCAAACTTTGGCAATGTAGTTAAAACAACTTTTTAAAGATCATAGCATGTGTGATGCTAATATTCTACCTATTATCACGTGAGAGAAGTGACAAATAACAGCGCACTGCGCATATAGTTGCGCATCCAAGACCTGTAAACTATATATGCCTACATCGTGTGGAGATTTAATGCTAGATAATGCCGTTCATTAAATCTTTATACATAGATAAGTACATTTTGTAGTAAGCCATTGACCCCAACTTACAACTTCCACAAGGAAACACTTCGTAAAACATTTTCAAAACAATCCAATTCTAGCTACGTACCATGGCATCGGACTCGCCAATCCAATCCAAGGCTTGCGGTGAAATCTTCTTTGTGAACAGAGAATATCTAGAATTTATTTCCTTATAACAAATTCCTTTATTATCTCAATTATGATTCATTGTTATATTTAGAAGGACCGTCCATCGAAGACCATTCAAGTTTCCTGTCTACTCTCAACCGCAATTTTTAATGTCCATAAGTTCACCAAAGTGTCCCATATTAATTAAACCGCCGTCCTTTTTTCCAGGTCCGTTGCACAGGGTGTTAAAGTTCACGACCGCGTTCACGAGATGCCTCTAGCCACTGGTCCTGGTTATTTATGCTCGAGCGAAGATCATCATCCCAAAGGAATCGAATTTATATGGAAATATTCTAAAAAAGTTGGTGCCCAGTGTGCAGCAGATGCCTTCGCTTTTCCCTAGATGGCTATAGATGGAAAGTTGTGTAAACTGAAGCCTAGCGATCACGTCGCTGATGGGATAATGAAGGAGGCGTTAGCAAATTGTGGCCATTTTTTTCAAGATAGGGTTTCTAGTCAAAGTGAAAACAAACTTTCCTGATTGTTTCTTTACTTTATGACCGGAATGACCCCGATAAACTTACGCTGCCATGAATAATATTTGCAGCCCATAATAGACACTAAATGACTTCAGAAAGAGAACCCTGAGACTCTGCCGATTGTTTTTATAGTCTAGGGTTCCGACAACATTTGATATTTAGTTTTCGAAATAACGGTGTAGATTTCTGTCTTTTAAACATTTACTATGGAAGCGAGTGTGGCATTTTCAATAGATTATTGTGATACCGTACGACTTTCCAAAAATCCGAATAGTGGTGGTGGTGAACTGAACACGACATTTAAAACTTAAAGGGCACTTTGCACATCAACTTGGGAATACGCGAAGATCCGGAAAAAATGTAGGCCTACAATGTATGATGACCGCAGAATTGTAAATAAAATTTAATGTTATTTATTTATTTATTAATCTATCAGAATTATACTGGTATGCAATACATTTTTCTTTCTATTTTTATGTAATATTAATTTCATTATCAATTTTTTAATGTTCTGTATGACTTTTTTTCGATTATCTCTGGTCAACTTCAATCTGATTCTTTAACTGGAATGTAGGCAAAAATGGCCCTGAAAAAAATCCATAGTGTCCATAGTGTGTTTTGAGAATGATTTATATTGTTATTATCTATTTTTGGGAATATGCACTAAATTTTTTTAATTTTTAGTAATACTATTCTAAAACTGAATACATACCGGTACCTATTATTGACTTTGTTATTAGTTTAAACTGTTTAAGTGAAATTATAACAGGTCATGTGAACTACCCACCTTACTCTAAATTTATATGTAATACAGTAAGTTAATATGTAAATAGGCCTATATAATTTTAAGTAGTAACATTTCGTTAAAAAACATGAAATATGGTGAAATAAGTTTCAAAAACGTTTTTAGGAAAAGGTTTTTAAGTTAAAATACTATTTTGTTAATTTTAAATACCTGCTTCAAAAGTTTTTAAAACTCATGACAGTACCATCTCTTAAAAAAATAAAAAATAGTTAATTTGTTTAAAAAACACAAACTATTGATTAATTAAAATTATTATATATAAAAAACAAACAAATGATATGTTGATTGATTCAATTATTTATTTTAAAAACCCAAACAAATGATTCAAATTACTGAAGTTTATAATGTAAAAGTTGCAATTAAAAAAATATTTATTAGTGTTTTTAATATCTACTATTTTATCAATTTTTTTTATAATTGCTGCTAGTAATATAAATGGCTTTTGACATTAAATTCTATTTAAATTCTAAATTATTTTAGTTTAAAGAATGAATGATTTATGTTGATTTATTGCTTCACTTTTTGCGATTTTTGCGATTACTGTACGGTACTTAATTCTATCATTTTTACCGTACACCCTTTAACTGTAGGCCTACAGTTTGATGAAAATTGCAACGACGTTTTGTCGTATTTCGTATAGGCCTATAATTCTAGCTAGGCCTATAACGTGCTCACCGTTATATAAACCTATTCCAATATGACATCCAGTGACGGATCCAGAATTCAAAATAGGGGGACTTTGATGGTAAATTTACAGAGGGAGTGCCCAGACTACATCTATCACGGTTGGGGCTGGGGTACAACATTTTATATCTAGAATCCCAGTGCCGAAAATGGCATTTTACAGCTTACATGAAAGGCTGGACCCACCCTCAGGATTCGCCTCTGACTTTTTATGCCTTCTAACAATGGGAACATGACTGGCGTTAGAACCGCATTTGTATAACTCCAAGGACAGATTGGAATCGGGATAGACCTAATGTTGAAAAATAAAAACCCTAGAATCTCAGCCTACGGGTGGATTAGTAAATACGAAATGTCTGAATCTCGTACATCGGCATATCTGTTCAACAGAGAATTATCGTCTTAACGTTAAAAACACTCATAATTATTTCGTAAAGGAGGATTATAAAGAAGATGTCTTTAAAAGATGATTGAACATAGAATCCGATTGAAGACGTCCTGAAGGGGGAGATGATTAGAAGAGCATGAGATTGAAGCTAATTAGACTTCTCGTATGCCTGTAACAATGCCACACAACATCACATCACAGTATGAAGTACGCCTTTGCACCTGCAAATTGGATAATGAGAAACAGTGCTCAAACAACTAAACATAATATATAGGCTTAAGTATAATTGTCGTCTTCGTTAATGTTGTAACGATTTCCTTCGTTTAACCACCATATTTTTTAACGAGAAAATGTTGCCTATTATGATGACATTTAATACGGTAGGCAAATGTTATATTGTTGTCATAATTAAGAAGCTTACAGACAACAGTCAAATCCATTGCTTTACGTATATATTCACTTTTTAACTAAATCCGAGGCTGAGGTTGGACGGATCAGGGTTGTTTAGTAAATGAAGAGGGGGTAATCACAGTCAACTGAGTTGTTTAAACCATGTGTATCGAAAAGGGATTACCCAACACAACGAATTAACATCAAAAGCTTACATTGTTGTGATTGTAAGCCTCCAATTACAACTGCTCCTAAACAGAAGTTCTAAAATGCTTGTTGCGTCAATGTCATTGAAACGGCAACTTGCGGTGAGAGGAGTATTAGTATCTGAAGCTCGACGCTGATTGGACGGTTAGTGGGTTCTGGGCGGAACGATTACCGTGACGTGGGAATGACTTTCTGAAAGTTGTCACATTGCAGTAGTACAAATATTGGTCACTAATCAAAACGTGTCAAACATACTTTAGAAATTCTTGAGTGCCGACGTAACTAACACGAGTTGCAGACGATATCAACGTTCGACAACCTTCTTTCTTTATGTTGTTTAAAGAAGAAAAACCGACGATGGAGAGCGAGAGAGTTACTATCGATCAATCTCCACCAAAGCATCCATTTTCAATAGAAAGGATGCTGGGTCACAATGAGCCTGTTATTAGACGAAATATACCGTCTCCTGTCTCCCCGTCTGTGAGCCGATATACTGAGTCGCCCATGAGCGAGGTAGAGACGATTAATAAGGCGTGTGATGTATCTGAAAACAAGGAGGAAGAACAGATGAAAAAACTTGACTCGGAAGGAGAATCAGACAATAAGGATGATAACAATAATTCAGATAAAGACAATTCTGGGAAGCAAGCTAACGTTGTTCCCAAAAACAAATTTGGAGAGAAACCGCCATTCAGCTATAACGCTTTGATCATGATGGCTATCAGGCAAAGTCCAGAAAAAAGACTAACATTAAATGGAATCTACGAATTCATAATGAAAAACTTTCCATACTATAGAGAGAATAAACAAGGCTGGCAGAACTCTATTCGTCATAATCTCAGCCTGAACAAGTGCTTCGTGAAGGTACCCCGTCATTATGATGATCCCGGTAAAGGTAACTACTGGATGCTAGATCCATCAAGTGACGACGTATTCATAGGAGGTACCACTGGAAAACTAAGAAGACGCTCCACCAGTGCTTCCAGAAATCGTTTAGCTCATTTCAAACGCACAGGACGCCTTGCACCAGCCGGTTATCCTCATTTTCAGAACGATAAACCTTATCACCCATTTGGATACTGGCAAACTTCACCCGTCTTCCCGTTACCCAGCCATCCTGCAACCACAATGTATAGAACAATAGACCCTAGATCAGAGAACCCATCCCAAGGTATTCATCACCCGACAATGCCAGCTAGTGTGGCGTCTGCTTATTACGAATCGATCCTTTCATCAAATCCTGCATTTGTCAGGCCTGTTCCTGTTACGGTTAACGGATTTTCTGTAGATAGAATCCTTCGATCTGATCTTTCTTGCCCATCACAACCTACCATAATTCCACCATCTCACCGAGAGCTAGCTTGCAGCCCGCTATACGCCAGGGGGCTATCTAACAGCGAAACCTGTACATCGCCTTGTCAGTGCGTGTCGCATGCACCTGTGTCGGCCGGTTTCTATGATCCGTACGCAAGCCTAAGGGGCGTAACTTCACCCGTGCTTCTACCGAGTTCTTTCCTACAACAACCTCAGCTTATTCCTGGCAAGTAAAACAAACTCTTTGCTAGCGAATGCTTATTCTTGATTAATTTCCACAAATCTTAGAAATCGAACTTTTAATAAGCCTCTAGCCTAATTTATAATGTATCTATACATTAATGTCTAAGTTCAAAATATATGACATTGCGATTGTTTAATTGGAATTGTAGAATTAATTCATTTCCAATGTATTCGCCTCGGCCTTTTTAAGGGCATTTTTCCAATAAAACAATTGCGCTTTATTTTTACATTTTAAATAGACAATGTATAACACCATTGGCATTAGCTATAGGCCTGCAGAGTATTATAACAGTCTTTGAATCCAAGTGCAATATTTGTATAATTAAGTGATGTATAACTATAAACATTATTATTAATATTATTGTTATTATTATTGAATTAATTTTATTTGTATTATTGTGATGATAATTTTTATTGCAGTCTTTGCAATTAGTATTGTTATATTTATTGTTATAATTATTATTTGTTATTATTATATGGTACATTTTTTTAGAGAAAACTTTACTTATTTCAAACTGAATTTATCGTATCAAACTGCATTTTGTAACAGAGATTAAACACAATCTCATATTTTAATTGTACAAATCTTGATTGGTGTTATGAAAATTCAAGTCGGTACTGAAAACACAAATATTTAAATATATTGTGGAAATAAAAACTTGATAATCTAGCCATAACATCCTATAGGACTATTGATTTTAAACTTGCCGATTACTGTAACCTTAAATAAATTTAGATCAGAAAGTCCGTTGCATTTACGTACGTTAGCCCTTGCGGCAAATATTGCATGATTACTTTATATTGAAGTGTTTCATAAATCGGATTTTACAAAACTAAATTCAAAATATGCTTCATATTACAATGCCATGAAGAAGATTGACATAATAAAATACAAAGTTTACTGTAGTTTATTTTCGACTTGTCTAATTGTTTAGTATCGCGCCCTGTCTCTTATTGCATTTGTTAATTCGAGTGTCAATAATTGTTGAAAAACTCAACTTTATTTTCAACTGCTATCGGCAATGCAGTTATTGACTGGCATACGATTGCTTATTCGACGTTTATTTTCATTTGTCACTGACTACTATAGGATAAACATTCACAACGTTACAACCACCAACAAACATATCAAATTCGACAAAGAAATGATAGTAATTTTCATCTGATTGGCGAGCCGGGAGACGAAGTCAGAAGTTGGATATTACCTAAATAACAGTTACAATTTTAAGTCCAGCAAATTTGAGTATATATAAAGTTTATATATAAATATTCACAACAAACAGCACCACTGAACAGTAACTTATAAAATTTATTTATATAACGGTGATATACTTAGCTATTTTACCCAGCTATTAAATATAGTTAATTACATATATACAATTAATATACTTCAGCAATACTGTATAATATAATCTCAGAGTACTAGTTTAAATATTGATCCGATCCAAGTACGCAGCTCAACATAATATTTAAACATTATTCGTTAATTCAAACAACAATACGAATGACGAGAGAGAACTCAACACTTCCCATCACTATTAAACCATAAATATATTTTATTTAACTTTTGTTTACGCAATGAACTTCTTTCCGAGACTGCCAGGCTTCTTATTCATTAATTATATAGTCCGTTTAAATTCATATTACAATACTGTAACAAATAATTACATTACACTAATATCATGTCTGTATGAAATGGTAACGTATGATGATGTGTGTTAGGCTAGTCTGTATCTAATGTGTGTGATGAGGATCGGACCGAGTTCGTTTACATTATCAGTTTGTATGTTTAGGCACAAACCCTATTGGTGTAGGGCACAGTGCCTATTCTACTGTAGGCCTATAAAGCCTATTAAACGAAGACTACAGAAATACGCCTGGCGTGAAGAAAACATGGAACTTGCAAGGAGTTCCTACATATAGTTTTACTTCCGAGCATTAAATAATTATATTAATTATTTATATTATTTAAAAAAATTCATAATCGTATCAATTATGGAATACAAACTGAATTTTATTTCTTGAGATTATTTAAGAATATTAAAGTTAGTTATATTATTGTATTTTTTACTGTTTCACAATTATATTAATTATGAAGTAAAATTTGAATTTGAATTTCCATTATATTTAAAGAATTATTATAGCAAAATGACAAAATCATCATTAATACAAGGATTGGTCTTAAGTCATAAACATTAAAGTATAAACGTAATATATTTTAACAACGACATTGGTAAGTTTTTAATCTTAATTCTACATTTTGTTATTCCAACAACACAATATTTTTTTAATTGTTTACAGAGTAGGCCTAACATTACACATTATGATTGACCGGCAGGGTCTGCCCAAGGAGAAAAACGTGTTTGAGTCATTTCAAGAGCCTAATGGGCCCATTATTTCTTTATTATATTTTCAATTGTTTAGTTCATAATTATTTCATAATCGGTCTCGCTGGTTTATTCCGAGAAATTATTCTTTTTGCCAGCATTTGTAACTAACCATCGGTGAAAAATCAAATTGTATTGAAAACATGAATGATACATATAATTATCAGTATTATAGACCTGAATTTGTTTTTAATTAGTGTTAGGCCTAGGCCTAGCCATTTGGACAGCGAGTGCTCTGAATGATCATCTCGCGAACCAGATTTCGTTTCTTCCCGTTAGTGCAAATGGACCTCCGCATTCGCAATACCTGTACAGTATATACAAGGGAGGCCTATGTGAGTGAGCCGTCTATGGATATCAGCCGATCACATGTTGTTGGATGTGTTAAAGGTATGACTTTATCTGATTTGCTCGTAGGCCTATTCGATATTTTATTATATTATATCAATTAAGGTTTCAATAAGCTATTAATATTATCACAACATGTTTGTATACAATGTAGATAATATTTAATTTTTAACATATTTTATTGAGTGGGTTATTTATAGTCCGTGGTAATTGGTGGTCCGCGGCTTTTATTTAATTTTTGTAATTGACAAATTACCGTATCCTCAGACAACCTGAAACATATATTTTAATATAGTCCTAATTAAATTAATAACTATACCATATTGTACCTAAAAACTTCCATTATTTCACCAAAAATATTGTCGACTAAATTTACTGCCATGTAGTCCTAAGCATATTACTAAACTATTTTGCTATGAATAACGAAGTCGGAAAACATTCAACGAAATGAAAAAAAAAAAAAAATGAAAAACATAATCATCATATGGATGGAGTTTTTTTTAAGTTGTTGTAACGACCGGGCAGTATTGTTAATTTTTGATTTGGGTGATATTTTACTTTATGCATTGAAGTAAGATTCCAGTAAGTGAAAAATTTAAATATCCCTCAGTTGTCAAGTAAGGCGCTATTTTATTATGATGATATTTACAAAAGATATTGTACACATAAACACACTACAATCTTATTGATAATGACGTTACAAATTATAACGTTGGATGGTATTAAGTTTACGCGTTTTTTTACGCGACTTAGTAACTAACAAGTGTTTTAAAAAACCACATCAAATAGAAGCCTTTAACCCGCCCTATGCTATACAATGTCCTTTTAGTTGGTATTGTCTCCGTAGTTTCAAAAACCAACAGCACGCTTAATTACACGTCGATTAGCTGTATTATGTTAGGGTAGAACGCCAGTCGTTTGATTTCTTAATTAAACATAATAGACCTATGATGAATACGAATGAATAACAACGTTCTTTTAAGAATTGTAGATTTATAAACAAAAAATGGTAAAACACTGAATTGATTATTTAAAATGATCCCCCATATACAGTATTAAACCACAAACGAGAGACACAATCAACAGTTCTCACTGATTGTACAGACATTTATTACTACGGAAATCCTGAAATTAATTACCAGTCAATTTAAGAGTCTAGTCAGGGAAAAAATATAGAAATTTATTCGTCTGTTATTTGGCAATTAAAGCTATTTTCACGTTTTGATATTTATAAGTTAATAATAATTAAGATATATAGCGAACTTATCAATACCGTAATGATTTAATCCTTAATGTATATATCAAGTATAGGCATTTCGAATATTGACTTAATATTGATCAAGTTGCATACAGAGAGACGCCTATATTTTTAAACATTATGAGTTTGCAAATTTGACGTTTATCTTTGTGTAAGGAGAATGCGACTTTCGTTATGTTTGTATCCATCAGTTTTCATTAAAACAACCCGTGTCACTCCCGCGTGGTATTTTGAAGAGCTGGAGCATTACTTTGGTGATTACATGGTTGCCTTATAACATTAGGATCCTCGGCTCAGTAGTTAACATCAGAATATTATTCTTTTAACGAATAAAATCCACTCCCCAACCTCATTAGTGCCATGATAGTTCACCCGGAAACCAGCGAATGTACATGCACTGTCGGATGTAAAAATATTTTAATTTTAATGTTTTACCTTTAAGATTTACTTTTAAATATCAATTATATAACAGGTATATTCGTTGCTCTCATAGCCAAAAATATTTTTGATAAAAACCTAACAATTAAAATGTTCCGCTAAAATGAGTGGACACTAGCTCCGCTAGGCTTACATTCTTGCTGTTATGATGAATGTCATAATGGTCGTCCATTGCCTAGGGTTTGACCTAAACGGCGACGATCCAAGGTAAGATACTTAAGTTCTATGGGAGAACGACTGGCTGTCGAGGTCGCCTTCTTTTCATATTAAATTGATTTGTATTTTAACTATAATGATCAAAAGATTAAATAACATCTATCTTCAGTATGATGATAACATTGATACTTATGGTGTTTATCACATATTTAAATGTACTTTTGAACCATAAAGATTTCATGCAAGGAACGGCCGCTGTCTAGATACTTGTATAGCGGTACCGGCCCTATTTGCACAACCACTCGTACCGCATGCTCTCCCTGTCACCACGACACTATCAAAATATTACACTTGTTAAAGGAAGGGTCTGTCAGTGTGATTTCTGTAAGTTTTACACATAATAGTCTATCGTCAATTAATGGTTTGAAATATTTTAAATGCTAAGATCAAGGAGAATGGTGTCTTTTGAGAAAGAAGAAACGACTTTTTTTTACTGTTAGGCCTATTATTACTAATCTACTTATTATCGTGATTTGTAATATCAATCGCAACTTTTATTCATTACCGTTAATATTGTTATTTTAAATAGTATATTATTGCTTTACAGTTTTGTTGTTATTATTAATATCAAAAATTCTGAATTATTTGTAAAGATGTAGTGTGTTATCAGATATCAATTTTACCATGAATAATTATTATTATTTATATAATTGAATGATTATTATTATTATTATTGCTATTGTTATAATTTATTATAGCTATAGCAATTATAAATCGTGGTTGCTGTGATTTTTATTTTCTTCACATTCGTTTTGTTGTCGTCGCATGTGTGGCTGTTTTTCCGAGAATTATTGTTCTTAACATCGCAGTTGTATTACAACATTTCTTGATTAAAGACCGCATAAGTTTGAGTCTATATTAATGCTGTAATCATCGCATTAAGAAATGTTACTTATTTTGGCAAAGAATAGGTCTTACATCCTTAATATTACATTATGTAGAACGCTAATATCGGTGATAATTTCAATTACTGTACTCGTTTTGTTTTGGTTAAAAAAAAGCAGATTCTCGTAAAAGAAAACTGACTGTAAGTTTCGATTACCTATTCGCCTATATCAATTTTATCTACTTAATTTTCGAAGTTTTGTATCAAAAATGTATAGAAAATATGTATTTAGCATACGCTAATACCGGCGATAATTCAATTCAATTGAATTCCTTTTCAGACGTGTCCATACCAAATGAACATTACAAAACAAATGAGATCGAAATTAAGAAAAGATATAAACAATCAAGTTACATGAGACATTTGACTTACA